TAGAGAGCGCCGGGCACACGCTGCGGGGGCGGGGGGGCTCAGTCGGAGTATTGGGTGTGCTTCTTCCCCGCCCGGTCCGAAGAGTGGCGTCTCCGGCATAGCTTCGTCGTACCCTCATAGCTGGTGCCGTCCCAGGCTTCGTTTCCTGCCTCAACTCGCTCTTCTCTTTTTTGTCCGATTTTTTTTTTTTTCCTGTTTGTAGCCAGTCCCCACACTCGTGAGGAAATGTGTATAAGAATAGCGACTGTCGTGCTCCTTCTTAGAAAAGAAGAAAAAGCGATCCCAGCAGCCACAGGTTTTAAATCTGACCTCATTCAGAAGTTAGCTTGAGAGCAAAGTTGGAAGAGCTGTTAAAGCACAGGGCAAAAGCCATGAAAGTTGAAGATAATACAACGTAGTTTTCCCCACAGCTGGATCAAGCCAAAGAGGGAGGACCTTATAGTGGGAGGCTCTCGGTGGTTCTGCTTAGATTGCTCCATACGGAGCGTGTGAGGGAGTGAAATGCAGTCTCCGCAGACAGATTCAACAGTTTGGCTGCCAGACTCTAACCTATTTGTACTGAAGAGTGTCTGAAAAACATAAGTGAGCTAAATATGGTAGATTTTTCATGGGAAGAGTAAAAAGTCAGTTGCTGGAACTAATGACACTTCCACAGAAAAAGTATAGGAACAGAATAAACCATTTTTGATGAAAGCGCTTCAGCCTTTTTTTTCTTTTCTTAATGTAAGAAAACAATTTAGTTTCGCCCAGTTTAATCCCAAGAAGGGATGAATGTGTTGGAAATCTCCGCTCTTCTATGATTCAGTCTTGATGTAGACGTTTGGGGGGCAGTCAGTGTGGCTTTGTGGTGCAGGTCCGAGAAAGATTCTTCTAAAGTTGTTAGAACGTTAATGATGGATAAAACTATTTGTATTCACTTACGGTATTCCTCAAACCTTCATTATTAAAATATTTTTATTAAGTGAAAATCTGTTTCTGTGGTTTTGGCACTTAAGAATAAAAGTTGTAATTGCAAGTATTTTGCCTTTATATAGCAAATTTATTTTAAATGTCAAATGCAGTGTCTACTTGTCTCAATAAATTCCACTTGAATTTTGAGGTTTGTCAGCATCAGTTTTTGACAGAGCAAGTTATCTTGAGTTTTGACAAGACCACTAAATTTATTAGGCTCTATCTCAGAAACCTAGGTGTTGTCTTCATGCTTTGGTTTTTTTATCTGCTAGCGTGTTTCCCTTCAGGGAATCTCAGTATGTATAATGCATGTAATTATCTTTGAAATGTATGAGTTTGCTGGCAAGCTTACTTTCTTCAGGCATACAAAAGGATTGGAGTCAACAAGATAAAAAAAAAAAAAAAGCCTTGCGATAAACTGTGTATGGGTTATGTAGCTTCCCTGTCATTCTGATGATTTAGGAAGTTGGAAACTGATTATTTTTGTGATCAGCTAAAGATGTCAGGAGCAGGCTATGTTGTAGAGTTGTCAAAGAATCCAATATTTATAGGTGAAGGTAACATCTTTTTATTATACAACTGATAATCGTTAAGAAGGAAAAAATAGAGCTTCTTGGCACTTGGGTCCTTTTACAAGGATTCATTGTCCTAAAATACGTGAAATGTTAAGAAGCTGTGAATTGGGAGTGAGGAATACCTACTGTGCTGGTGTATTACATGCTACTTCACATGGCACAAGCTACTCAAGTGCCTGTGTTGGTATATGCGGCGGTGGATTGATCCTTCAGAGTCCATTTTTCGCTCAGGTAAGTTTGACCAGAAACATGAGATGCCTCTGTGTGTATTGGAAGAATTCAGCAAGAGAGCTTTCTACAGACAAGAACTTGTGCAAGATGAATTATCCTGTGCAGAGGCTTAATTCCTGCCAAATACTTCTTGAGGTGCTCCTGATGGCAGTCCCATACCTCTTTTACTGCTGCTGTGGGAGAAGGATTCCATCATAGCATAGCATCCTTGTAAAGAAGTAGTACTAGGCACAGATTAAAAAGACTTCTTCATGCTTCCTGGTATGTTGTGTTTATTTAGGCTCTTAACATTGCAAAACAAGCCAAAAATCCTAAGGACCTGCCACAGAACTCTCTGTCTTTGAGCCCAGAGTTAGAGCTTCAGTTACAGTCTGTAACAACAACAATTATGAGAAAAAGAGGTGCAGCCAGTGATGCATATAAATAATATGGGGATGCATGCAGTTTACAGGAAGTACACAAATTTGGGGATTTATTGGTGTTAGCTGTGAAAATAAGGAACGTTAGCTCACTATTTATTTTTACTAATGAGCAGGACAAACATCAGTTCAGGAAAAGGTGCAGTTGCTACATGATCCTAGCAAATCTGCCAACTGTTTTACATCTGTTTGATGGACATATTTAGACCAAAACATGGGAGAAAATTTCTCTAACCAAAACCCCAGTTGTACCTTACAGGTGCTATTTTTAAAGCTTTGTTTCTGTGAGAACAGAACAAGAATAACAATAACCAAAATCTCTTGTCTTTCATTAAATTGTAGACTTAGCAAAAACTGGGAAGCTTAAATTAAAAGAATGTGAAGTAGATTACCATGTTTTTGCTGGAAATGGCCATGGAAAATAACTTTGTTTTGTTTTTTTACTGGTTCGTAATCTGAAACTAGAAAAGATGAGCTGTTTACCCATGACAATACCTGTGCTTTATTTGCTCTGGCATCACCTGGACACATGATTTTATCATCATCGTAACATACATCCGAAGCACTACCATAAGAATGGCTCAGTGCAGTGTTGTGAAACTGAGCACTAGGGAGAGATGGCCTTCATTTCTGGGTAGCAGTAGGAAGGATGGGGTTCAGACCATCTCAGGCCATGGTGACACATGGTGTGGGTGCCGAAGGGGACTTGTCCTTCACTTGACCAGTCCGGACCTAGCCACCAGCAAACTCAAAAGGTCAAAGTGCTCTGTTCTGAGCAACTTCTCATCCTCGTGGTTCCTCTCCCACTAGTTTCAGAGTCCTAGACAAATGAGAGAGTGTGTTCGAAAGATCACATGTAAATCCAGTGTGCGATTAAAGCAAGAGTAAGTTACAAAGCTGTCTCTCCCGCAAAGCACGGACGTAATTGAGGTGGCACTCTCGGCAGTGGTGGCAGTATAGAACGCAAAGGGAAATACTGTGTTAAGTAGGGTCTATGTTGTCTGAGTTTTTCTAGGTGAAAACTAAAATCTTTACAGAAGGTGGCATAAATCATGAAATGCTATCTGAACACATTTTTGGCTATCTACTCAGTTTACTGAATGTATAAAAAAAAATTGGATGGATTATTTCATTTATTAGCCTTTGTTTAAACTTCTACAGTACTGTAGTAAGTTTTCCTTGCATTATCAATCTGTCTTTTTCTGTTTGTACACTTTATACTGTGTTACTAATGTATTTTCTTTTAATTTTGTTTTTAATAATAACAGAGTATACGTGAATTTCAAACCCAGTATGGCTCAGAAGAGGAGCTCGAGTGGGCGGTCATTCCCATTGCTGCTGCTGATTATTGTTGTGGCCTTTGTTCATTTAACTGTCTGTCCTTTTACAAAAGTGGAGGAAAGCTTTAACCTACAAGCTATCCATGATGTGGTATACCACCAGCTGGACTTGGATAAGGTAAATTCAAAAGAAGGTGTGATTTCTTGGACACTGTTAGTAAAGACTGCAATTCCATGCTGTATGAGTAGGGCAAATGCAATGTGAATATGAGTTATCCCAGTTTTCCTTTGTTTCTGATTTGCCTGTCTTACTTAGATTTTCCTTTTTGCAGTATGACCATCATGAATTTCCTGGAGTTGTCCCAAGAACGTTCCTTGGACCAATTTTTATTGCTGCTCTTTCCAGCCCAGCTATATACGTACTTTCTGTGCTAAGAATGTCCAAGTTCTACTCGCAGCTGATAGGTATGAGAACTTTAAATCATCAGAATACAGATTTTTACTACTGGACTAATGGGTGACATTGTTTTAACATTCAGTGTTTGGATCAGTGGTTAAAATGTGATATTCTTTTCCTTAATGAGGGATTTTGCAGACTGTCGGTACTTAAAGCTAGCATGGCAGTTCCACCCCCAATTTGGGGTAACTAACAGCACAGAGAAAGTCGGTACTAACAAATGTCAGACAGTTTAGAAAAAGCAAGTGTCTTCGGAGAACACGCTCTCATGTGTGCTTCTGTGTACACTTCAGAAAATACTAACTTGGACATAGGAGCATTGACCTTTGTGCAAAAGTATCAGACAAGTTAAAGGTGGATTAAAATAAACAAACTAATGGGGAGGTTTGGGTTTGTTTTTTTTTTTTTCTTTGAAGTGGGCTATATTGTGGTATCTTCAGTATTATTCTTCATAACTTCTTCCCATTATGTTATGTAACATGGTTGTTCGTTAGCGATCCGTCTGGTATAACTCTTAATTCCCATTTTTATTCTTCTAATAGTCCGAGGAAGCTTGGGGCTCAGTGTGATTTACACATTATGGAAGTTGCAGAAAGAAGTTAGAAAGCAGTTTGGAGCAACTACATCAACAGTCTTCTGTCTCATCACTGTTACTCAGTTTCATTTGATGTTTTACTGTACACGAACCCTCCCTAATGTGTTTGCACTCCCTTTTGGTAAGCATTTGCATAGCAATAATTTTAAAATATAAAAATTCTTCTCAAATATGTCAGTAGTTAAAGCACAGAAAATGTGAGGTCAGACATAGACAAATAATATATGTGCTTGATTAAATTGTGTGGTAGCAAGGCTAGAAGACTTCAGCAGTTGGGATTTCTTTCTTTTTTTTTTTTTTTTACCGTATATGCTTACAATGACCATTGAATCAAGTTTTATTGAATCTGAGTGTATGTGGAGTTTGTCAGATGGCTTTGATTAACTAAAGGTTTAGGTACACATACCTGATGCATAAAACATAGAGCTATTGAAAAGGCAGAAGGTACACCTGCAGTTCAAAAAAAAAAAAAATCTGTGAACTTTGTCTACACAGGAAAGAGCTTTCTCATGAGACTGTGGAACAAACTCCCACCACAACCTCTCCACCTTCCTCTTCTGGAGTTATCTACAAATGTAGCAGTTTGTACACTTAAGGGGGAAAAAAAAACCCCAAAGTCAAAACATTACTTTACACATACAGTTTTTCCCTAGAGATGATGAGAGGGAAGATTAACCACATGTGACAGATGGTAGCTGAGTCACTTAATGCTTCAGTGCAAGTTGTTCAACTAATAAAATCATGAGGTTGGTGTAAGAACCTGTCTAGATCAGAACTGAAAAATAAAAAGCAGTTGAATTGTCAGATAAACACTGTGTAGTAATAAACAACTTGGATAATTTCTGCAGGTATTAAAAAATACAAGTTTCTTCATGGTTTTGTACTATTAATATTTCATACATATTCCTTAGGATCATGACCACTTTACTATGTAGTCATAAACTGTGGAAAAAGTAGAGGCAACTTCATCTGTAGAGTTATGGTGTGTCTTCAGCTAACTGTGCAAATGGATTTATAGTTCTTCTCCCTGAGCGGTAGTCTGTAGTCTCTTTTTCATATTTGAAATGGCGTGCTGTTATCATGAACACAGGATATACTCAGCCAAGAGAATAATTCTTCAGCTGATACTGAGCAATAATAATCATGAATCTTAGTTCAAATGGTTTTTAGTACTTCCTCAAGGTTTTGGGTTTGTTTTTGTTTGGGTTTTTTTACCCAAAGGCTATTAAATATACTGTCTAGGAAGAGTTCCCATGTGTTTCTTCTGTGGTTATACTTTTCCTAATTACTTAAGCATCAACAGTAGAAAGTTGTGCATTATTCCAAATTACATTTCTCTAACAGAGGAAGAAATTCTGCGCTAGAAATGGTAGGAAGACCAAGAGAGCATTGGTGGGAACTTAGAGGAACAAGACACTAGTATTGAGAAAAGTGTTGCCCTTTAAAAAATGAATAGTTCAGTGTGTGAGACAGTGTGCTTTATTTATTTTTGCAGTGCTCCTGGCATTGACGTTTTGGATACAGCAAAAGCAAAGGCCATTCATTTGGTTCTCGGCTTTGGCAATTATAGTCTTCAGATCAGAGCTCTGCATCTTCTTAGGCCTCATGCTCCTGGTGACATTATTAACTAAAAGAATCTCCATATTCAAGGTACTTTCCCATGCTGTTCCTGCTGGAATTTTTTGGTTGGGTAAGTATTTGCTTGGAAAAAACAAATGCCACGTAGTAAATTCAACAGAAATCTGGACTGACTTCTCTGGTGACCTGGCCCTTAGGCCTTTTTTTTTAATCTGATTCCATTTTCTAGTAATATGACAAGGGTATTTATTTCTTTGAAAATTTCCATGTGAGGAAATAGGTGTGCATGGAGCAGTAGAAACTGTGACTCCCACCTTTAGATGCTTACGTATGATGTCCTGGTCTTAAAAAGGCTTAGACATGCAAGCTGACTTTAGTGTAATTAGTACCTGGCTGTAGCTACACCTGCATTATTTGCTGTAGTATCTATTGCCGTGATGATAAGCTGAATCCCAGGATAAAATACAACAGTGTGACAGACTGGGATACTGAGCAAGAAGGTTGTAGGGAGAGTCACAGTTCAGCTCTGTTTCTTTATTACATTAATTTTAATAGCTTAAGTGATTATCCATGCTAGAGACGTTGAAAAATCTCTTTGTCTCTACCGATCCATGGAAGGCTCGTGCATATGCATGTAAGTACTCTAAGCTTCTCTGCCAGCCTACCTAATTAAAAATGCTGTTGTCAGATGCCTGATGATGACCTCTAGTAGCGTGCTGTTCCTTCCACAGCATGGGCAGTAGAAACAGTAAGATCATGCCATGTGCATTTGGAGGCACCTCACAGCATAAGAGTTTGGAGGTCCAATGGGAATTAGTTACTGGTACTCCCATTCCATCTCTGGGCAAACTTCTTAAATACCAGAGCAGTTTTCAGAGAGCTGAGTGGAAGAGATGGGGCTGATGGATTTGCTACTCTTCTGTCTTTTTGCCTTTCATCCCTTACCCTCCTTCCCTCAGACCTAATAAACAGTAGCAAACTTCTAGAGATTGTTTATCTTAACTTACTAGCTTTACAATAAAAATCCATTTAGTACCATTTGAAGTTAACCTGGGTTTATTACCATTCATTAAATTTAATGCTCTAATATTCTTTTGAAACAAACTAATTAAACCACTGTTTTTCACACCTGGGGTTGGAGTGGGGCAAATCTCAGTCAGATTCCTATCTAACGTGCTTCTATTAAGAAGTGCCTCCCTCCCCTGCATTTCCACTGCAAGACAGACAGATTCAGCCTTCTCTGTGGCTTTGGGTGAGGCTTACAATGCGTGTTCCAGTTTATGCTGATCTCATCAGTAAATGTGCAATTTGGATCTGCTAGTTTGCTTTTCCCTAGTTTTTAATTCACGCAGATTTGTATTTCTTTTAATTGTTTTAGGGCTAACAGTTGCTGTGGATTCTCTATTTTGGAGGCAACTTGTGTGGCCAGAGGGGAAAGTGCTTTGGTATAACACAATTTTGAACAGAAGTTCCAACTGGGGAGTATCCTTTGAAACGTCCAGGGAAAAAGACCTATTGAACACTACCAGCCAAAGCGAAGACTTGATGTAACCTATTCCTGAGACTCGCTTACAGTGTTAAATTCTACCTTTCATCTAGTATTTCATTATTTGAAGCTTATGAGACAATGTCTGTTTCTTAGATCTTTCTGTAAATTTTAACTCTCCTCTGCTGACTGTTTCTTCTTGCTTCTTTGTGTTCTACCAATGTTAAAGCCAGGTTTCTTCCCCTTGGTTTTTCAGGTTGCCCATCATTAGCACCATTTGATGTTGGGTGATGTGAATGTAGTTACGCAACTGCTTTTATTTCTCAAAGGGTAAGGCAGAAACCCAAATGCCTGGAAGAATGCGATATATATAAAGTATACTGCATATTTGCAAAATTTGCATGTACTACTGTAAAGAATAGTTACTTTACTTGTCAGCAGTGAAAGCATCCTTAACTCTCCTTTTCACCTTGAAGACCTCCCCCTTCTTGTGGTATTTCTATTCAGCCCTGCCTCGTGCTTTGGGATGCAGCATTGTATTTGTGCCTTTAGGTGTAGCGGAAAAGAGAACTCGGATACTACTTTTGCCAGCACTGGGCTTTATTTTCTTGTATTCATTTCTCCCACACAAAGAGCTGCGTTTTATCATATATACTTTCCCTGTCTTCAACATAGTGGCTGCTAAAATGTGCTCACGAATGTAAGTTCGAAATTCTGTTTTGTTTTGGTTTTTTCTTCTTGAAAATGCAAAAGAAAAGCAAAACTATTATTACTATTTTTATGCACTTTTTTTAATCTTGGAGTCTGAATCTTCAGATCTTCTCAAATCTCTTGGATTTGAGATCTTCATATGCTTTAGAAAGGAGGTCTGTATCACTGTACCCATTTGACTAATGAGGGAAGTGGAGACAAAGAAAAGTTAAATGATTTGGTAGGACCATTTGACAGTTTGGGTCAGTGTCAAGAATAGAGCCCTGATTTTACTGTTACGCTGTTACAATTCAGTTTATTTTATCCACCAGAGAAAAAGATACATTCCAGGGTACTACTGTGTTGTTAACACAACTTACCTTAGGAGATAGTTTAATGCACAGGTGGGGCTCATGAAATGTGGAGTTTGTATTAAATAATTAAACTTGCGTATTTTGAGTAAACACATTGAAGTTAAATTGTGAAATTCTTTGAAAGAGAATACTTTCATAGCCAAAGGTTTTAAACACAGAAATACTTAGCTTTATTGATGAGCTTTTATTAATGAGAATATTCTAATTTGTATGCATTCCATACACATGATTGTAATAAAGTTTGCATTAATCTTTATTATCTAGCAGTGCAGTTTTCGTAAAAGCTCTGTCACAATAGTCAATGACCAGTATGAAAGAAAAATAACAGTTTATTCTTACTCTTTTTCCGCCCCCCTCAACAGTCTGAATAACTACCGGAAATCTTGGCTGTACAAACTTGGATCTTTCTTTGTTATAATGCATCTTCTAGTTAATGCTGCTTATTCAGCAACATCTTTATATGTTTCACATTTCAATTATCCTGGAGGAGTGGCAATTCAGAAGTTGCATGAGTTGGTACCTTCAACAGCAGGTATGTAAAGCTGGCTTGAGGTATGTTAGTCTAATTTCAATTGCATTTTTTTTTCTGCTAGTGTATCTTTACATGTATTGGATATTACTACTTCACACTATTTACATGCATGTTTTCTGTTACTATTTTGTTAATTTATTAATCAGAGTGCTCTTAGAAGAATTTTGAAATTGTACTTTGTTTTCTTTTTTCTGTAGATGTGTCTGTTCATATTGATGTGGCTGCAGCACAAACAGGAGTTTCTCGGTTTCTAGAAATCAATTCAGATTGGAGGTATGTTGTGAATGAGGTATTTTGATCTGAAGATAGCAGCCTGCTTTTTCCTTTTTTGTATATGCACAGGGGCAAGTATCACAGATACTGTTTCTGGTACAGCATATTTATTAAGCCAGGTCAAGAACAATGTGAATCTTCAGAGAATTTTGATGTGTGCAGTGCTGCCATTTCAGAAACAGAGCACTGCAACGTTTTTTAATTGTTTTGGTTGGTTCTGGTTTGCCTAAATAGTGTAGAATCTTTAAAAGACATCAGAAACAGTACAAAAAAATTGTTAGCTTACTAAAACACCAATATCTTTAATGCAGCTACATTTGACATCTCACTAGATCTCATAAAACACAGCTGTAGATGAACACTTTTCTGCTCTTGGCAGAACAGCGTATATAATTGTGGGGGTATCTTCTCATTTTGTTTGTATTTGAATGATGTGAGGCTTATCTGCATATTAATATACAAAGTCTATTTTTATGTGGAATGTCCTTCACATAGATTGCATTGATGCTGCTGTTGTGGACTATCGGTCACGTCCATTCGCTCTGAGAGAAAGCAGTTGAATGCTTTGTTACCATGACCAGTAGTGATGTACAACAGTTTTAAGAATCAGAATTTTGGAATGAATAGTAGGAGACATTTGTGGGACGGCATTGTTTGCTTTTCAGGATGCAGACCAAAAAAAAGGCACCTTTCTGATTCTTAGGCCTACCTCTTCAGCTGAAGTGTAGGTTTCTAATTTAAAATGTGATCTTAATGAAAATGATTCAGCAGAAAGTGACACAAAGCCTCACTTCATACTTGCACAAAACAAAAGCAATACAAGCAGATTTTGATTTAAGAAGTACTCTGAGCATGGAGTTCTTTTTTCCCAGTTACAGTCTTCAGGATCAGATGAACAAACATAATTTAATTATTGGTATGTTTAGAGATAAAAGCATTTGGGAAGTAAAGAGGGAGAAGGGGAAAAAAAAGTATGCTCCTGGGGGAATTATAAAAACCAATGAGCTTGCTAGGTCTTATTTTATTTCCATACTCTCTCATAATATTGTGATGATATGGACAGTTTAAAGCTGAGTTGCCTTCACAGTTACCCATCCAGTGTTTATTTCAAATTGTTTTTTGCATGTTCAGTCTAGAGAAAGCCTTAAGCCACCAACAATCATGAGACATTAAACTATGAGAGTACAACTGATAGAAGACGCATGACAGCTAAAATGTTCCAATCTTTGTTTTTTGAATATACTTAAGTACACACATTACTCTGAAAACAACTCTACTCTCTAAATACAATTCTTAATTTCCATGAGCTTTCTGGGGTTGGTGGGTTTTGGATTGTTTTGGGCTTGCAAGGCTGTAGTGTAGTGGGATTGGAAGGTAAACGAATAATATCCCTGTTACTGATGGTTGTTTCATAGTGTTGCAGCTACAGAGCAGTTTGTCTCTCTCACTTTTTATCTTTACTCATCGTAAAAAAGCCTCAAGGGAGGGCTGATTCACCATGAAGTTTCACATTGAAAAAATCAGGCAAAATCCACAACTAAGCATCATACACGGGACTACCGCTTTGACAGCATGTCCTGGTTTTGGCTGGGATAGAGTTAATAGAGTTAAACCATGACACAGCACAATAGTGCAAAATTCAGTGGCACCAGCTGTCCATTTTCTCTTTTTCCAAGGAAGTGACAGCCTTTCAGATGGGTCTGAAAATGAGAAAACTCATTTACCATCTTCATAGAATGTGTACATCAGGTGAAAACAGATTTATTGATAGAGTGGCTATGAAGGCTGATGATTCATCTTTCTAACTAACAATACATCTTTCTAACTAACTAACTACAATCTATAAATAAGTGTCTTAAAGTTAACAGCTTTCGGTGGCGTGCTCAGATTAGATCTATTTGCCTCAGGAAAAATGCAAGTGATCTATTATTTTTCTTCAAAGGGTGATTGAAAGAAGCTTGATTCAGGTTCTTACACAGGACAGGTGTTACAGTCTTGTCTTCAATTAGTGCAGTCTCTTTGAACCAGGAATAAATATGCTGTGTAAGCTTAAAGTATTTAAAAATAATAAAATCCAGAGATGCTTGCAGCCAGATGAAAGGCCCTTTATTTGCTGATGAAGAAAATGCAAAACTAGTAGTTGGTAAAGTTGTTATGAAGTAGGACATTCCTTCTGCCAGTTTGGATGCATGTACCATCCTAAGTGGTATTGCAATCTTTTTGGAAATAGCAGATGAAGTTAGTGTGCAGGTTTTTTTAGAAGAAAGCACTTGTTCAGTTTGCAAAGTCTAATCCTGCATTATATGGTGCATTTATTGACACCTCTGGATTCTGTCAGCCTGGGGTCTGTTCTGGGTTGCCAAAATTTTAGTTAACAATCCACACAAATCCTCTAGTTTGCTGTAGAGTACTTGCTTTAAATATCTTAAACATTAATGACTGCTATGTCAGGGAGTGTTGTAAAAATATAAATTGATATTGTTTCCAGTTTTTCACAGAGAATTCAGGCAGATGAGAGGCCAGGCCTGCAAAGACACATGTGGCAAAAGGAGTAAATCCAGGCTGCATCTAGGTGCGTTTAAGAGTGTGTAGAGTTGGGATTACACTACCACTTCCCTACCAGTGTCCATGCCACAGCCTTGAGTAAGTTGCTTGTGAAATGCATGGGAGGAATCACGTGCCTAAGAATAGGAGCTCCAAAAGCTGGTAGAAAACAGTTCACAGAAAAGGGCAACAGAAAGGGTGAAGAACCGGGCACTGCTCTTCGCTTGGGTTACAGTGCACAGACACGCTTTTATAGTTAGATGCCAAAGACTGTCTTGTCATAAACTAGAGGTAAGTAATCTCCATCTTAACCTTTGTCTTCTGGACTGTTGCCCAGCATTAGTGTAGAATGTTTTTCTGGGATATAGGGCAAAGATTTGAATCCAGGTCTCCTGTTTTTGGAAGCACACTTAACAGTGGTCTACAGAGTGTTTTGGGGTGGACTTACCTTATTCTTCCCCTTTGAAGTTGTTGGATTGTGGACTCAAATCAGGCTGCCATGTCCAGTATGAGCATCCTAACCCTTGGGCTATAAATTCCACCTGACTCTCTTCAGTGAATGAATAACTAACTATTGCGAAATAGAACCGTGTCTTCATGAGACAGTGAGGGAGAACTATCTCAGTTTCTAGAAAATTATAGAGGTTCATACAGCTCTGTGAGATAAGAAACTTAAGTTCTGGGCTTAGATCACACAGAGTGACTGAACCTAGATCTTTCACATCCCTGCCAAATGCTTAAGTCAGTCACTTGTTTTCTCAGCCTCTAAATTCCCTCTATGGCTAGATTGAATATAACTCCTTATAAGAAATAACTAAGTGTATATGCTGAATAGTTTTAGAACTCACTAGTTACTTCTTATATAATTTTTTAAAATATATAATTTGTATATATTTAGGTACCTAAACAGGTTTATAAAAGCTGACCCAAAGTGACCTGCCCAAACATGTAGTAGATCAGAGAACTGAACCCAGAAATAGCAAGTGCCAAGTTAATACTGTAATTGCCAGGCTGTTCTTTCTTTCCTACAGTGTTCAAGGAATTATTCTCCCTGCTATTCTCTGAGGCTCCTACTTTAATGTATGACTACCAGAAGAGAAAGTTTTCTGCTAAAGTGCCTCATAACTTTTTTTTTCTCAATTAAAAAAAAAGAAAAACAAAACCAAAAAAACCCCCACACTTATCCAAACCACAGTTCTTGTGGAGTAAAACTTAAAAATGAGTCCAGGTTTCTACAGTCTTAGACTTTGATGTGCTCTTTCTCCATAGAACTCAAATAGAGGACTAGTGAGAAATTTTCTAGGAGTCCTGATTTATATCACAGTAGCAGCAGAAAGACTTGCATGGAATGACTGGCTACCTAAACTCTTCAAAAATATTATTTCCTCCTCCAGTACTGGTTTATTTAATCAAGAGGTATAACTGAGAATGTTACAGTTCCTTTTGTGTTTCATCTTGGATGCTACATGACCTTGTGATAATAGAGATGTTTAATAGGTAAAGAAAGGAATGTAAATAAGCCTTCTTTATTCTTTACAGGTATGACAAAAGAGAAGATGTTAAACCAGGAGACCAGTTGATGTTTTCTTACACACACATACTGATGGAAACAAACCCTCTTCAGATATCACATTACAAGACAACCCACAGGCCACTGGCAAATATACCTGGCATCAGTAAAATTGGGTTGAACCTTACTGCACTACCTCCTTTTACTTTAAATTTGAAACCAAAATTAGTACTGTTGGAAAAACTTCCTCTATCATCTTGACTGTGAATTTTAAGTAAGTCTTTTGATGTAATTTTGCTGATGACTGAATAATCTAAGAGAGCAGCAAATTGTCATTCCAGCACTGCAATTCAACTTCTGTGGAAAGGCACAGAAAATCTTTGTACTGAACGGTATTTAGCTCCGTCCTGTTTCTTACATAAATATTACAATGCATTCCTAGTCAGTATATACTCTAATACTGAGTTGTATTGTTAGATATGTTTGAGAGAGGCTACCTGCAAGTTTAGTGGTATTAAGTAAAACCTGTCTACTTGGTTTGGGTAGCTGTTTCATCATGTAGCGCAGGTATGTCCTAATTGTCCTATATAAGATACATAATGGAACAGGTTTGTGCTACGGCAATAATTTGCTATGTAATCTATGTGTGCAAAGATGTATTACTTGATGTATCTGCAGGATTGTAACCCCTTCAGTTGTCAGATTGCCTCTGTGAAACTTAATGATGTTATCAACATAGGAAAGCCATAGTCATTGTAGCTTCATCACAATACCTAATTGTGCCCTGTAGGCTACCAAGCTAATTAAAGTGAAAGATTCACTTAAAAAGCAGTTGGACCTTTTGACGAGCACTGTCTCATAACAGATTTGAGCATTAAAGGATGGTTATCTTTATTCCAACACTTCATGAATAAGCAGCAACTTGGATTTCACATGAAAAAGAATTTTAAAAATAATGTTCCCCTCTTCTGCTATAATGATATTAATTTGCAGTGCAAAAATTTACCTATGAAAATATTCACTTGAATACAGTTTTAAGAAGATAGGTGCTGTTTTCCTTTCTTTACTAAGTAGTCCCTTTGGAAAGGAATAATCTAATATGCCATGGGTTGCATTCTATAAACTAGAATAAGATAGCATGCTCTGTAGTCTCCTTTATTAGATGTTTTTGTTAAGGATGTCTGCCTAGATTGCTGAATGAAACAAGTTAAGGGGTAAACTAAGGAAAAAAAGTTAGAATTTTGGTTAGGGCCAGTTGTAATGTGACAGGAGCTCCATTAGTGTAAAAAATCAGTATTGCTGAAACAGTCATGGGCAGAAAACATATTCCTTGCTGACTGAAAACTCGAGTAAAAAATTCTTATTGAATAAAGTGTTCTGGGTTTTTTTTAAAGTGTGCTTCATTCAGGAACTCCCTTTACCCATGTATGTTTCAGTTTTTAGGACCATGTTTTCTTTTTATCCTTTAGATGATGTATCAGAGGAACTGATCTGGTGGGGTGGAGCCTGCTCCCCTGCGGGTGGCTGTTGCTGCCGCGCAGGCTTCCTCAGGCTGAGCAGATCTGGCAAAGGCAACCTGCAGAACTTGTTGGTCCAGTCTCTGGTTGCTCTTGAAATTGAAATCACTCAAGTATTATCTACTTGACTTGTCTTTGGACAAAAATTCAGCTTCCTCTGCAGCCAATTTGATCTTCAAACAATTCACGAGACAGAAGGAAGTACATGTGCAAATAGCTGAGAATTTGGAACAATACAAAGGAAAACTTTTGAGTGAGGATGTAGGCCCTTATGTTAAGCCTAATCATTGACTTTATGTAACTCCCCACACACTGTAATCCACAGTCTGAGAACCTGAGCTAAAATTTATCCTGCCCAAGCATGGACAAATGTCTGCAATCGTGAAGTTAGGTGTATAGTTACTCCAGCTTTCCAAATCCCTGGTTGTCAGACTCCCTCTGCAGAAAGTTGCTTCCGTTAACTACAGAGGAAACCTAGGACTATTATGCTTGCAGTGTAGGCATCTCAAGCTAATGCCTGAAGTGGCACTGAATACATGGACATGAGGCATTTGAAGAGTTTAATCTTGCTGAATGTCAGCCACGTGGCTGACTGGAACCTTCCACAGACTTTGGTTCTGGTGTCTGGGTGCTACCTGTTGGACTGACTGACTTATACCAGGGATGGTGTTCAGCTGTGGTAGTAGTGTGTACAACTGCTCACAGCCTCACCGCTCATGAAAATAGAAGCCATCAGCTCAAATTGGCCTGTTTAGTGTATTTGCTTGGGGTAGAGAAAGGTAAAATACATAGAAAGAGGCAGGAAAGAGATCCTGGATTGTAGTTTTGAACAGTGTCTGAAGTTTATTTAGGTCCTGCTGCATCTTGCTCTGCATATGTTCTTGAAAAGTGCCGAGTTTTAAGATCTGCAACCTGTTTGGGTTTGTAGACAGAGGACTAGATCACGACCCGTGCAGTGCGTGCAGCACCATAGCACCAGTGGCTGTACGACTTCTGTGACAGCACGGGTAACCCCTCTGACATCGGCCGTGAATATTATGGTAGCCCACACCTGGAATAAGAAGGGGCAGCTGTCAAACTGGGATGAAGATTACTGCAGTTTTCCCCCCAATGATTGCTTTCAATAAACAAACAGTCCTTGGAATAAAACTAAAGCCATCTCCTTCCTCTTAAATGAATCTTGTCTCCAAGGCCTGTGTTGTCTGTCTTTAGCGCCACAAGAAAAGTAGAGCTTATTTTCTCCTTTAATATAGATTAACATTCAGTGTATTTGCATGGAAGAAACAAAGTGTGGGTTTAACTTCCCTTAGATGTAAGAGGGCACTAAGGAAGTCTCGCCCCTTCTATACAGTTGAAGTGAGGCATTACAAATTCTTCTGCATTTGGGTTGTGGGGGCATAGGGGGAAGCCTCAAGTTACTGCATGAATGGTGCAGGTAAGGGAGACACTCTGAAAACTTATTTGGTGGAAGTCTGAAGGGACTTTAAAGTCATAAATTTCTCATGACTATTCAAGTTCTTAAAAGAAAAATTCCTTTTGTCTTGACTGATCACAGACAACCCTAGCTTAGAGTATAGCTTTTCTTAATAAAAATGGAAATAGGGTGAGCATATTCAAATAATTGAGGGCTGAATTAACCTGAATAAAGCAAAAGACATAGAAGAGTCCATCCATAAATTGTTACATCTATGACATTTAAACACAGAATGCAGTTGTAAATAAAATGCATTTAACATGTATAATGCTGCTGTAGAATGAGATTTATTTTAGGATGTCTTGTTAAATTCCCCAAAGGTCAAACGTTGCGTAGGATCATGCATTGCCTTTTGAAGTCTGAATGACTTAATTTCTTACAAGCAGCATTTATTCCTGTAAAGAGCAAGGCTAACAAATGATTTGGACACAAACATGTCACTATGTCATTTCACCCAGAGATGGTGAATAATCACTGTCTTACAGCCTGAGATTTAAGACACCCTGTGTTGCAAAACTAAATAAAGTAATTGCATGAAAAAAAGTTGTGGAACTCAGTGATAGAGGACGGTTTTAGATGCTGAAAGTAAATCTGCTTCAAAACAGGGTTAAACAGATCACTCTCCCATCAAGAACTAAAAGAACCAAAGATCAAGGAGCAACCTCCAGTTCCCAAAGTAGACTCTTAGGTAATAGAGCGTTCAGAGCTGGGAAAAGACATCAGACCGTATTTACCTTATACCTGCCGTAAGTACTTGCTATGGGTCTTCTCTCTCACGAATGAATTTGGGGTGAGGAGACCTGGAGGATGGTTGTATTGCATGTGACATAAAATATGATTTATCTGTTAACACTGAGAAAAGCCAGAATGTGTCTCAGGTTCTTCCGTTTGCCATCCATTTCACTTCAGCCTTCAGAACACAACCTCAACGCAATTTAACTCATAACGCATTTGAAACACTGGTCACACCCCTTTTTCTCACGTCCTGGCCGTTTCACACATCCCCTTGGTGAGACTGGATATGCATTCAGGAGAACAAGACTGAGGTTGTGGTGCCCCTCCTACTGCAGTTACAACTGTTCTAGGACCATTCCTATCCTCCTGAACACTTCTAGTTCTTTCCATAACAGTAAGGAGCTTGAAAGGCGACACCAGATTTAAGCACTTGTTTGCTGTATCTCGATTGCAATGCAAGAGTGCGCGTTTCCCTGGCACCCGAGAGCACTTTTTCATACGTAGCAGAAATCACACAGAAGTCTAATGCTGCTTTCCTCGCTTTATTACCTGCGCTCATTCTTAAATACTCCCCTTCCCCCCTCAACACCCCCGAAGAGCTTTCCTTGTAACTTAGTACTCAGAGAGTCTTTCTTGTACAAATGACTTCACTTTCTATTTGCAAGAACAAAACCACAAGCCGAGTTTATCACCGATGTAAGCAAGACTGTTTAGCCACAGCCTTCTCGGTTAGCTGGTTACATAATTAGTCTCAGCTATGTCTTACATGAAAAATGCATCACTATCTGCCTAACATATGACACAGAAGATTAAAAGGGTATTTGCAAAAATTCCTGAAGTTAAATGACAAAGAAACTCTGTGAAGGTTTGCTTCATTTTTTATTTAAATATGTATGATTCCTAAATGTAATTGATCCATTTTGTATGCAACTACTTATTTTAGATCAGCTCTTCAGATAAACATGAGCAACTACAACTACTTTTCATTGTTCATTTCACATCTGTTTCTAAGAGCAAAGACAGCCAGTGTTTCTCCTGAAATTCTACATCTGTCACAGGCAGTCTTTCACCAATTCTGCTCTCCTTCAGCTGCAACTGCCCTTGGTTCTGTACCAAGGCTTGATTTGTGTCTGTGTCCAGATATGTCAAGTGTAAGGTAAAAATGCTGTCTGAAATGGAGTCCATCTTTTCCTGTAAAACTGCCAATTTAAATCAACAAATTGGAAGAAGGAATTGGTTCATACAGAGAGAGAGAGAGAGAGAAAAAGAAAAAAAAAAAGAGGCAGAGACAGCTTCAGCATTGATCTAGCCCTTGGAACCCAAGTTGATACCCAAGCTGGGGACATCACTGTAGCTACAATTTCTGGCTGGCATACTTATTTTATGAAATGAAGCACTTCTGGGCCAGTTCTGCAAGGAAACCAAGAAGGTGAAGAATCACTCTTTCTTGTCGCTAAGAATAAAGCAACGGATTAAGGTATTTGTGGAAGACTAAAATGCTTAAGTTTATAAAAATCTAAATAATCTGTAATTAGAAAGTGTTATTTGCTAATTGTATGTTTATTTTTCCTGTGTTTAGAGATACCTAAATGCAAGTTTGTTATTGTCAGCTCTGTATAGTGCCAGAAAAAAAAAATGCTACTTTAAAGGACAGATCTCTCAACAACTGTAAACATCTACTTTCTACACCTACATATAATCAATCACATCCTTATGCTGGAATTTAAACTGCTCTAGACTGAGATTTCAGTTCCTTGTGAATTCAGAAGCTACTCCTGGGGAGCAAGGAGAAGCTATGAGTATTCCTAGTAAATACTCACTGGCCAAATCCTGCAATCAAACAGGTTTCCTTCACTTTTACTTGGTGGGTAGGGAAGGAGGCCAAATGGAAAGGGGCAATGTCGGGGGAGCATTATCACAGGTTTCCGGAGCATAAGATACATCTGAATAGATACTTTCCATTATATACCCTTCACAAGACTTAAGTTCTTTGAAAAGGCTGATGCAGATCTCTACTTCTTCCCCTTCCTACCTTTAGTACTATGAAGTATTTCTTGCTGCAGTGTATAATTGTTACACCTGCCTAATCTTAGAAGCAAAAGCTGTTAAGTCTACTTACTCAGTTTATTTCTGAAGTTGCTCATGTACTGAAATTAGCTGTTTAAATAAAGCCAGTATCAGTGTTGCAGGTTCACCATACCATTATGCATTAGGGAACTGTCTGCTGCTGCATGGACTGGTGCAGCACAAACTCAGCTCGATGAGAACTCCCACTGTTAACAGCTTGTGCTTTATTACAGTCTGAGAGAGGGCAATGTAAAAATAGGGGAGTTTCCTATATATTACAAATAGGAGGAGGGTTAGAAAAACCAACAGTTTTAGCAATCGTTAAGAATTTACATTAAAAATAATAAAGTAAACCCAACACAAACCCCACCCACTTAGTAACTTACCTCAATACTTCATTGAAAGCTTTCAGCCCTTCACTGGAGTCATTCTTTTCTCAAAGGCGGCAGCCTGAATTGAAGACGAAGATGCTCCCATAACTCCTATAGAAGGATCAAGGCTTACAACTGAAAAATAGCAACTTTGTGCTTTCAGTCTCTCCTATTTTTATTTAAGTTTTTAAGAACTGAATGTTTTGATTTTAAGGCCTTTTGGGCCTGCATATTATCTTTAAAGAAATTCTAACATAAGCGTATTATTAATTCTTAACCAAGTTGATACTGAAAAACTGCAGTCTTAAGAACTAAGCCCTTCAAAAAAAAAAAAAGGAAATTGCAGGTACAAATAAAGTAGACTAACTGATAAAATTTTACTTTTAAAAATAGTCACTAGTTCTCATGCTCTCAGGAAAAATTTTGACAAAAAGCACAACTACACAATTAGTTTCCCCATGGGTAAGATGCAAACTGGGGGTAACAAAATGCCATCACTTCAGCTTTCCACATGAGAGTTACATAGGAGCTACAGTGAAGACTGCCTTCAGAGGAGCCAAGATGCTTGTTTCCAGAGAACTGGGATTGTCAGGTAAACTTGTTCACTGCCAGCACTCCTGCTGGTATGATGCAGCTCTGCAATGCTTTAAGCCAAAGGCTGTATTTACATTCAAGCCTTGAGTGAAAATTCTATCACTTGTTTAAAAAAGAAAAAAAAAAAAAAAAAAAAGAAGAAGTTTCTTCATCCTCTACCTCCATCTCTACTGGTTTGGATAGATTAAACAACTACTTTACAAAGGTCAAGGTTATATTCACAGTTAAAATGTAGGGAAAAAAATTGAGATAATAATTAACCAGTAACCATTTAAACATGTTTCCCAATAAGCTGCTTCAAACTCACCTAGTTCCAACTATACATAAACTAGAACAAATGGTTTTATTACTGCAGAAAAAACACACTGTTCTCATTTAACCCTAGAAGAACAAAGAAATGCTGACTGTTGATAGAATGAAAAGTTACCTTTTAAAATACTGCAGACAAAATGCAGTATTAGTTTTTCCAAAGTATGCTATATAATAATTTACTTAAATATAGTACAGGTGTAAACATAACTGATGGAATAACAATTGAAATACCTGAAACCATAAAACGTTTAGAGAAACGTCACATGGAAACCAAAGCCACCCAGGAAAGAATTCAACAAATTTTCCTGAGGTTGAATAGCTTGAGTGAAATGAAAAGAACCAGAATCCAGGCTTAAGTCCAAAGAGCTAAGTGGAAGACCAATCTTTTCACATAGCATATTCTGTGGTATACTTATGATTACAACTGTATCAATTAATTTTTATTCAATGGTTGTCTTAAATCCATCTGAAAAGAAAAGGCAGTGTCGACTACCACTAGAAAATTGCAAATAAAATGTTTAATTTCAGAAACTGAGTTCACCATTTATAAATACACTAAAACATAGTAAATGCAAAATTAGATTAGGCATAGGTACAGTATTTTAACAAAGCTACAACTTTTCTAAAAGGTCATAGGCAAATGATGACTTGTTTCCCAAAAAGTATTCAATGAAAACTGAAATGAGAAGATTAATCTTTCTAGAGTTAAACCATGGAGAACATTCCTTTCAAATTAAAACGCTGGCTATTTTTTTCCATCTTATTTGAAGTTTTCAGGGCTCTATATCCCATTTGCCTGATGGACACCAACAGTTAAGAATCAACCCTACTACATAAAATTCTAAGCAGTGCACCATATCCGTAAGGCTATTACTGAAAATCAGAAGATCAGTTATTTCTGTACTAGGAGCTTTAAGACAGGCTGTTCTACACAACTGAAATTACATTAGGAGTAAGGGCTCAATTTTTACAATAGGGAACCTTATAGTTTCGATGCACTAAAGATTAGAAAAAGCTTTAGAATGACATTAGAGTCTTTCATGGTAAGTTTCTTGCCTTTTTTTGTACACGGCATTAAATAACAAGCATTAATTCACAAACTTTGATAAGACTTCCAAGAGCTTTTATAAATACCCAGAATATTTCTGTAGTTCAGTTAAAATGTAAAACCTGAACAGGAGAACCCAGAATGGGAAGTTTTACTACCGATTGCTGTATAACTGACATTCCGTATCATCTCAAATTTAAGATTTATTTTCAGATACTAAGTCAATAGTCTCCTGTAAACACATCTTCCTCAGTAACTCTTCCTAATCCTTTACGTACTTTAGGGCTTGCAGTTAAAAACACCACATGATAAAAAGATGGTTTGAACCCCATCTTTCATGTACAGCTTTCTTTTGACAACTACAAAAGCTGTTTTGTTGCAATTAAAGCAATGTTCAACTAAAATACAGTACCTGGTTTATGGTTTTTACATAATAATTGAATAAAAAACTACAGAATAGAACTGTTTACATCTTTTTTTTTTTTTTTGCCATTCTATTAAAACAAATGACTGAGCTTTTTTAAAGTTCATTTACAATTATGGATTAAAACCTACATAATTCTGTATAATTTGACAAGACAGGCTATCTCTAGTGTGAACTTTTAAAAAACATATATACAATATCTGGCCTGAAGTACTATGAATAAGGCACATGTAGACATATTGAAAGCTGAAAAAAATGAAACTAAAATTTGGAATTATAGTCACTGATTAGATGTCATACATGGCCCCTACTGGAGCAATTTAAAAATCCAAGTTATAGTTATCCAGTGAGCAACAATAGATTTAGTCTAGCAGTTTGTTCATTAGTTTCAATACTGGAAGTATATTAAAGGAAGATTCACTTTCAAAAAGATAAGCTTTTCAAAGTGTTCAATCATTAACCTTGACTGACTAAAGTTGTTGCTTTCATTGGATGTATTGAACAATCTCTCTGAAGGAACAATGCTTGGTGGACAACCCAAGAACCTGACAGCCAACTTTGACAGTACTGGCCAAGATGACTTCTTAAAGTTCCAGTAAGTGAGAGGATCACAGTTATGCTCAAGCACTTCTTCCTCCAAGTAAGAAAGCACCATTTCCTCTGGTAACTTTGCTCTCTCTTTCAGATCTTTTGTTTTCTTCATGTCACCCATGAGTGACCAAAGATTATCTTCCCCATATGAATTTGTAGATGGTGAACCTATATCACATCCATTGGAAACAGGTTTATCATCATCTGAGGTAGAACTCATTATTTCCAGCTCCCTGATTAAGTCTTGTTTATATTGTTCAGCCTCCTCTTCTGTAAATAAGGATGTTTTATACCGGGGATCCAGAAGTGTAGCAAAAATGTACCTTGGATCATGAAGTGTGGAGGACAATCTACTCACCATAGCTTCTTTTAAAGATTTCAGCATAGTATCTATGCCCATTGTTTCCTCAAATAGCATTTCTATTTTCCTGTTAAGTATATGAATCATTGGAATCACTTGGCTTAGAGTAGACATGTGCGTACTCATCTCCCTACTCGCAGCTTCAAATGGTTTGAGAGCATGACACACCGACTGCATGACTTCCCACTGATCACAACTTATTAGCTCCCGAAAGCTGCACTCTATTGACATTTCATCAATTGCTCTTTTCTGTTCAATAAGACGTTCAAGCATATGAAATGATGTATTCCACTTTGATGGAACATCTTGTATTAGCTGATGCTGAGGCAACTCATACTCTTTTTGCAACTCAGCTAACTTCTCTTTTGCTTTTGCTGACCGATGGACGCGTTCACAGATCTTTCTTGCAATACTAAGCAAATTCTGAACCATTCTCTGGCTTTTGATAGCCTCATTTACAATGATATTAACAGTATGACTAAAACATTGTACACTTGAATGATCACCTTCATTTAAAGTTTTCTCTATACTCTGATTATCAGTAACAGTAATCCCAATCTGAAGGCCAATGGAAGTAATCCATGTTTCCCACCAGTACTCTAACTGCTTTTGAATACTGATTCCATTGTAGTCGCAATCAATCTGTGATACATTTAATAGTGCTGAACAATGGTAATCCTCACACTGTGGTCGAAATGAAGACTCAAATGTTACCCAATGAGCTGTCAGGGTTAGATATTCTCGTGTTTGGTTGCTCATCCATATTCCGGACGTAAAATGGATCACTCCACTTTCAGCCTCTTTAAGATGTGAAATAATTATTTGTTTTACATTATCATACATATCTGGAATTGCTGTCCTAGAAAAGTAAGATGGAGAAGGTAAAGAATACTGAGGTTGCAAATATTCAAGCAGCCTGTTAAAGCCAATGTTGTCTACAAAAGAATATGGCTGAAGGTCAAGTGCAATCATTTCGGCTACAAGACTTGTGATTTTTTTGGCAACTGGGTGAGAGTCACAAAACTTGTCATTGGTTTCATCAAAATTTGAAGATCCTAGTAATTCTGTGCTCAGTGGCATGTGATTATCCGTAGATGAGGGTAATACGGTCTCTGAGACATCAGTTTTCAACACATTGTTATGAAACCGCTGCAAATGTCTTAGAAGGCAACTCGTGCCTAGATTTGTTGGCTTTTTCCCCCTACTTATTGTACGTCCACAGTGCATACATACTACTTTTGTTGAATCTGCAGAACAAATTGAGAAGTGATTCCACAGTTTTGAGGTCTTCTTACTATTAACAGGAAATATAATTTGATTATCATGTGTAACCATTGTAGGCAAGTCAGTCAACTTTGAGGATGAACATTCTGCAGAAGCCAAAGTGGCGTAAGGAGAATTTGCCAAACTCACATCAAGAAAGCTCTTTTGGTTTCCTATTACGTCGGGATGGCGTCTATATAGATGTCTCATCAAGCAGCTTGTGCCCACATCTCCCTTCTTACCACGACTTATCATACAACTGCAGTATCTACATACTGCTTTTAGACTGTCTGCAGGTGACAGTGAAAAGTGGTGCCAAACTTCTGATTTAAGCCTTTTCATAGTTCTTTTATTTTGCTGAAATACAGCAGCAGGTTCAAATATTAGTGGACCTAATCCCTCACACTGTTTCTCAGGAGATGAAACAAAGGAGACTTCACCTATATCATCAGAAGATGACAGCATTGAGTCTTCCACTAGAGCATCTCCAGAAGAGAGATTAGTATGGATGTCCTCAGAGATTCTGTCTGGAGAAGAAGAAACAGAAGTTGATTCTTTCATTAGTTTTCCAGGAGAGGATGACATAGAATTCAGATCGCTATCTGAGGGTAGTAAAGAAGGCAACAGAGTTGGAGGTGCAGTGTAGAGAGGTGGTATGCTGGTACCACCCCCATTCTCTTGCAGGACAATGGATCGATGGGCTCTCCACATGTGTCTTATTAAACAACTCGTTCCCAGGTCTTTCCCATTTTTTCCTCTACTGAATTCATTCATGCAGTGGATGCAAACAGCTTTAGAATTATCTAGAGGTGACAAATAAAAGTGTTTCCAGACAGCAGATCTCCTTCTGGAACCTGATGTGCTCTTTGGAATTACAACATTTTTTTCTGCTACATTCTCTACAGTGTCATCATACTGGTTGTTGGGTAGCTGTGGAGATGACCCAACCATGACTTCTTCTTTGCTGCACTTTTCAGAAACTGAGAGATCTGATATTTCTTCAGAAGAAACAATAGAAACAGATTCCTCAATTATCCGATCTGGAGACGGTATTTTCGAAGCCATTTTCTTGACCAGTTTTATGGGGGATAACATAGAACTCAGATCTCCAACATCTGCAGACTGAGGTGGCAGTAATAACGTAGGTGAAGAAAAGGAGGATATACCTGGCATACTTCCATTTTCTTGAATTAGTACAGTGGGATGGGCTCTCCTCACATGTCTCATGAGACAACTTGTACTCAGGTCCTTTTCATTTTTACCCCTGCTAAATTCTTTCATACAGTACATACATATTGCTTTAGTACTATCTCTAGGAGATATAAAAAAATGGTTCCAAGCAGGCGACTTTTTTCTGGAGCTTATGTTTCTGCTAGAAAGGAGGCTTTGCGTCACAGCTTCCATTGCTACATCATACAGCGTACTACTATACTGAGGAAAAAGAGATCCATAATCATCTTCATTTTCTGTAGATAAATATTTTCCAGCGTTATTGGTAATGAAGTTCTTTTCTTTGTCTTCCTGTTCATCACTGCTGTCCACATGTTTGAAATCATCTTGTTCTGTCTTTATATCCATTCTTTCTAGAGTGCAGTTAATGCTGTCTTCCTCTTGCTCTACTTTTAAGTTATTGATTTTACCCAATACAAAATTACCATCCATTCTGGGGTAACCTGCTTTACTCTTGTCCATGGATGACAAATTCTTCTTGCCAAGTCTTCATTTATTAATAAATATAGATAATTTAAAAGATTATTTAAAATTTGATTAAAATGATTTATCTTGTATACTGAATGCACAAACACAAATGTGCGTATGTGTTAAAATAACCTCTGGTTTACGAATTCTGTATCTGTGTTGTGCCTAAGCAAATATGATTAGTCATAAAAATGCATTTAAAAATTATAGACTTAATTAATGGAATCTCATTTTTTCCCCAGGATCAGGACATTTCAGGTCATAGATGAATGTTCTCAAAGACAGCTACTGTTAAATGTTTCATGTTGTAGACATATTTCTAAAAAATGAATGTTCTATTTTCTTGTTGAAGGAAGCCATTCTGTTCATCTTGATTGGACAACTGTGATTCTTTTGCACCATCTAGAAATAAAAAAAACCAGAAGACAAAGTTGACTAACACACTTTAAATAACTACAGTAAAGGTGAACTGAAAACACACACTTAAGGTTCTGTCATTTTTTTTTCTCCTTTGAGATAAAAACAATTCAGTGTACTATTTAATAAAAGAAAAAAAACCCAACATTTACTCAATACATTTATTGTGGGCAAATACATGTCTATACATGCAGCTCTGGTTCAGCTTTGACAAAATCTAGTGTCCAGGCATCACTTCTGTATTTGCTTGGACATATGTATGCCTTACCCTACATCCTAATTCAACCACTACATAATCATACATACACACATATATATACAGACATTACTATGTATGTGTCTATATCTACAGATATATAAGACAAATTTAATCATGTTAGCACAGAAATATGTACTTAAAAACAAATGTTAACTTACACTCCTGTACCTGTGAGCCCTTCATTACTGACAGCAGTGTTTAAAAATACAACATTTTACAAGAAACCTCTGTAAGGGTGTCCAGTGTTGTCATACTAATCTCTCTTTCTCTGACCGTAGTTTCACATGGTTATATTCATGCCCTAACACTCCCAGACAACACCATACTATAGAAACAAGCTACTTTTAGAGTTCCACGATTAAAAACTGAAATGAGCTATGCAAATGCCATATATACACTGAGATCACCCAAAAGCATAACATCACTCAGAAGCAAAGATACATACAGTTGCATACACTGCTGCCTATTGCAGCACTGCCAGCTCAAGTTCCTCACATACCCGAGGGTTATACTAGAAAGCCCATTTACACCGAGATAGCTTATTTCTCTCATGGATAAAGATTTCCCCCACCAACAATTCCAGTACAAAGAGTAGGTTTTTGATGTATAGCTGCATAAAAATCACTGGGCAACAACAGGCTCAAAAACCAGAACCCCCCACTGGCCCCACACAAACCTGAAGAAACTGTCTGCATTTGTCAGCCACTTTTTTTTTTTTTTAATTATTTTTTACTACAGTTTTATCAGAATTCTAAATTTTGCCAAACCCTTCCTCATTTATTCTCTTGTGTCATTACTGTAGTTATTGGTACTTGTAATTCAAGATAACAAACATTTTTTTGACCACACAGGTGATGCTATGCTATGCACTCTGATTTGTGCAAGCAGGATTTTATGGGACTCCCTCTCCCCAGCTGAAGACAAAACACAAATTTGAAGCAGTTATTTTAGAAACTTCTCACACAATTTTCAGGTGTTACTCAAACACAAGAAGGATTTCAGCAGACAAAAGGCGAAATTAGCCATAGCTACAAGACACACAAAAAAAGGCTAGGTTGTACTCACGCAGCCATTTCCCCCGCCCCGTACAAAGACCAATGTCATATTAGCTTTGTGACCTATTTTAATTAATATTTCTCTGAGGCCTGTTTACAAGAGACATCAATAACACTTATTTTCTGTTGATTTCAGATTTCTGGAAAGCCTATCGTGGTGAAAACTTACTTTCTTTTCCAGTGCAGGGGAAGGGGCAGGGAAAAGGAGGGGCAATCAGCTTATTGCAGCTATTTTAAGAAAAGGGAGATAGAGCAGTCAGAACTTGCAAAGAGGAAGGCAGTAACTCTGGTTTTCTTTCTATGAAAGCTTTAGTATTTGTGCTCTGCCTTTCTCTCTCCTCAGGAAAAAAAAAAAAAAAAAAATCTTTTTGGACACCAAAAGATATGAGGGTTGAGCATGCAGAATGTCAGTTCTAATGAAGGGAGAGACTTGAAGAAAAAGAAAAACCCTTAAATTTCTAGAAGAAATTTAACACATTACACAGTACTTTCCACAGGTTGTGAAATCACATCTAAGAACAACTCTGGCAGCAGAGACTAAATTTACATCACTCAGTATAAAACTAAATGAAACACAAGTCAGTGATCACACACATATTGAGGACATAGAATCATGTGCATCTGGGACAAGAGAGAGCATAAGATAGTCAACATTTTTAATAGAAATTAATCTAAGAGGATTTTTTTTAATCTTTATTTTGATCTAATCTGTGAATTTGAAGCCTGTACTTCAAAGAGTAAAAGCAAGAATATATAATAAACTGTTGTGACTTAGGATCACAATAGAAAGGCTCACAAGCAAGTGACTCCAGGCAGAGCTTACAGAACATAAATTATGCATGCAAGTGCCAAGTTACAGTAAGCACATTACAGATTCCTAGCTAGATTCGCACAAAATACACACATGCATCCATTGGCATCAAGTTCTGATGAAGGTGTGCACACCTCTAGCCTGCAATTCCTGTAATTTCTTAACTATGCCAAAACAATTCTAGGCTTTGAACAGAAAAATCCACCGAGATGCTTCGCTTGTCCCTGTCTTGATAAGCAGTTACTGCTTAACACAGCTAAGCATAAGGTAGCTGTGATGGGAAGATCTGGAAACCTGATAAATGAGACCAGTTGCAAACTTCATAACCAAACTTAACTAGATTGACATTCGTTAACAATACACATTACCAATGGTTAAATACTTAATCATTATCAGCCATTATCACCACATATTCAAACAGTTAGGCCCCAACCATCTTATCCTAAATTAGTTTTGAGTACACAATACCACTGAGCTGATGCCATGTAGTTAAATACTGATGGCTATGGTCCTTGACGGTCTTAGTTGCTGAAGTTGAGGTGAAAAGATGAGACTGCTGTTTGGACTCTGAAGCAGGAACGGCAGTGGTAGACTTCTTTCTTCCCTATATCTCCTTGCTGTTGATGGGTGTTTTTAATGCTTATAATCTCTTCCACCAAAAAAGGGTGTGGGAAGCAATCTCATCTGCTCCTGACATTATTTACCTTCTTTTGTTTAGGACCAGAAACTGTTCTTGTTCCACCGCAAGTCTTTCTTGCTTATTCTGTATACTTCGTTTTTGCTTGCAGATTTTACTACTTGAATTGTTGATTCACATGTTTTTCTGTCCCGTTTGTGCAATTAAACATAGGTCTCCCTTTGCAGCTATGTATTACTTCTATACTTATGCTTAGCTGTGATATAAAATGCTTTCATGCTGTTAGGAGAGTTATGCTATTAGCAGTGTTACGAAGCACTTATATACTGTGGCCAGCTACACTACATTAGTGTACTTATGGATGAGTTTAAGACAAAAAAACATTAATTATATCTTGGCCACTTTATGGCTGTTACAGGTCTCTGGCTACATAGTACATATTTTTCTGGGCATTGTTGCTGCCTTCTAGGAATGCAGAATAGCTGAGATTCTTAGAGGAGACTTGTCAGGGGTGCTTGATCACTTCCCGGGAAATCCCCAAAGCTGGATGCCCCTTAGAGGATTCTGCATGTATTTTTTTTCCATTTTCTTTCAAACGTCTAAGGAAGATCTCTATTGCTTTGAGTACTACTACATCATACTGTAAAATTAAGTCAAGCTCCCTCCTTTCAAACACCCTGGAGGGTCCAATACAATTTTCTTTAGAATAGAGTCCCCAAAATGCTCAGTGTTAGAAAGGTAGGTATGTTTTTCATCTCCCCCTACCATGCCAGCTCTGTGGAAGAGTCAATCTGTTTTAAAAACAAACAAAACACTCTATCCTATTTTTAAATGTTATAGTAACCTAGAATGAAGTATGAATTTCATTATGACCACCTTTACATAGCTTAGTTACCCTTGGACACAAGCTACTTTAAGTTAAGGACTGCTGCTAAACAAACAGGCTATTCAAGGAGAAGGAAAATGTTTTTAAAAGGTACAAAAGGCTACAGGCAGTCAGCTCAAAATTAAAATGATTTATGCCTTTGAAATCTCCTCAATTAGATACAGACAAGCAGCAAAACAAAGAGAATTAAGAGTCACCTTGCAACAAAAATCTTCAAAGAAAGTAAATGGAACTAGAGAACAATTATCTACTCAAATGTACTACTCTAGACTGTTAGCTCCTGAGCAGCTGTAGACAGTCAGTGGTTTGCTGTGGCAAGAAGCTTGCACAAACATTTTATAGGATTTTCCATTCAAAATGGGATTACTGAAAGCGTATGGTGGTTGACAAGAAATGTCAGGAGAATGTCACTGATCCAAAGAGTGCCACAGCAGACTGCCATGGCCAGAAGAAATCACTGCTGAAGGAAGAGGGTAAAAAAAAAAAGAAACTCTGGTGTCTTGGGATTAACAGACACAGAAGTATGAAAAGTATGCAAGAACACTGAACCATGAGCAGATTATTTGTTTGTAAGGCAGATAGTGGCCTGCAAGCTTTAAACAATTTTATATTGAGTAGTCAGACAGTAATCATGGACTTGATTATGTTGCAGAATCCTAGCGCAAATAATGGTCTAGAGAAAGTAATTTAAAACAAAAACTTCAAATGATTATTATACAAGTACATATAGTGTAAATACAGACACACACGCATGCAAAATGCAAGAGGAGTTGTTTCAAGAAACATGCAAAATGTGGAGACAAAGTGAAAGCAAAACTATTGTACTAGTTTGAAAAAAAAATCAAAAGCAGTGACAGATTTTGAGCATAGAAGGTACATAAAAGCACATTAAATAACAATTTGCACAAATGAGTGTCAGTTTTGGAATAAATAGTGCTGATCTTCTATATTTTTGGAAATGTACAGGCATCATTAAGAACATCAGGTAAAAAAAAAAAATCCCTAAAAGCAAGAATACAAGCAATAAGGAGGAGACATTTTAAGAAATTATTTTTAGCTTCTACTTCAATGGCAGGTACTATGCTAATTAAGTAATATTTGCTAAAAAAAACCAAATAAAAAACCAACCAAACAAAAAAACCCACAAAACCCCACACCTCCAAAAAACCTGAAAACAAAACACATCCAAAAACTTGTAACACATAAGCAGAACATTTTTATAAATTTATAGGCCAGATGAACCTTACTGCTTTGAACAGTAACATTTTTTCTACAGGAATTTCCTATGACAAAATATGAGTGATAGCTCACCCATTAAGAGCTGCAGAAGTCTGCAA